CTGTAATCTATGCCTATAGGTGTGTCTCTTTTTGGAAGCATCTTGTCACTTGAGTGGCATATGCTCGGCACTCCCCCCCCTCCAAAACAGTTATACAGTACTTGGAATAATACATATAATTTAAGAGATAAAAGGAAATTAAGTATTTAACTTATTTAGAAACATTCAATATCCTGCAGTTTATAAAGATGTCTAATGTGCTAAAAATTTTGGATTTGCTATGTAAATTCATTACAGTGATTACTAAAAATTCTATACTGAAATGTGTTCGTCACGTTCTGGCTTTAATGTATGGTTATCTGTCTTTTAGAGCAAATAAATCGGTTTGCAGGCTTTGGGATTGGTTTAGCAAGGTAAGAAGTTTAATTTTTCAGTAGTGACAATTTTTAAAATGCAAAGGCCCTTTTGTTCAAAATTCATGTCCACTGCAATTCAGAAATTTAACATTGCCATTAAACTTTAAAGAAAATGTTACAGTTCTTTTGTTTTTATAACTAACACACAGTTATTGATATTGTTAAATAACTGTTTAATAGTCGATATCTGTTCAGTTTCTCGATATTTATTTATTCAGTTTCTCAATCAATGACTCTAAGTGGCTTACAATATCTGAACCCACCTGATATTGCTAACTAACCAAGGCTCTTCATATTGTTCTTGCCTAGTTTTTGGCTACTAATACTAATGCTTGCAGTAAAGCTACACAGAAAAAAATTACTCATCTGGAAGGAGATTGTGTTCAAAGTCTCAATCTGGTAACAATTCTTCCAGTTAGTCTCAACCTAGATAGTGAAAAATTGGAATGATAAATTTTCCAAACAACTGCTCATAACTGAAAGAAGTTCATCTCTTTGGAAATAATCATCTGAACAAAAGACTGCTTAACTATGACAAATTATCCATAACTTGTCAATGATATGTATCCAATCCTAAAGCCTTATTAACACTTTGTCAACAAGATCTAAGTGGATGAATTGGATGGAGCAAAGGACTTCTGTTAGTTCAGTCCAATATGTAATGTAATTCCAATGTAGGCTGAAGTGATAATAAGCAAAATTCTGTAAAAATCTAATTTCTTTCAAAAAATTTACATAAGAAGTTCCTTAAGAGTGTTTATATTGATATTGAGCCACATAAATGTTTTGAAGATTCTGTTCATGTACCTTTCCCATGAGCTGGCTTTTGATTTAGTTTAAAAAAATTAAGACAGGAGTTCTGGATTATTTCCATATTTTATTTAGATCATATAAAATTTTAGCCTTTTTACACCTACATCTACGATAAATATAATCTCATGAATTTGCGGTTGCTAAAAGACAATTGAGCACTTTCAGTGTGTCATTTCAATTCATTCAGCATTTTGTTCTGAACTAAATGTAAGTTGTAGGTCTGAAATTAGTTGTACTTTTTAGGGCCTCATGGTTACCATCAGTCTACTTTGGAAATAAAGGAATTTTAAAATCTTTTTAGATAATTTCCATTCAACATATCTGACGTTAACTGAAACTTTAGATTCATTATAATACAGCAAATTGGAATAAATAATTGCTCCCAAAAGTATTGTCTGACTTTATAACACTACCACATACTGAGATATATGGTATAAGACCATGAAAAGTAATAACTAGAATGCAGTTGACATAAGTTATTTATGGTTGCTTTTGAATATAAATTAAAATTCTTACTCATGACTAATATTACACTCAATACTAGAGCAATTTCACAACCAAAGAAATTAATAAAGACATCACAACAATATTTTGGAAAATTTGGGCTTGTAAATATAGGTAGGCCTCAACTTACAACCATTTATTTAGTGACCATTCCACAGCATCTCCGTAGTTATATGCTCAGGGTTGCTTGGCATCTGTTATGTATTTGCGATAGTTGCGGAGCCCTGGGCTTATGTGATCATCATTTACAACCTTCCTAGCCGTTTTCTGGCCAGCAAAGTTAATGGGAAAACCAGTTTTGCTTGAAGACCACATGATTCAACAAGTGCAGTAATTTGCTTAACAGCCATGGCAAACAGGTTCATAAAATCAGGTGTGACTTACTTATTGATTGCCTTAGCATAAATTTTAATCTCAATTGTGGTTGTAAGTTGAGGACTATCTGTATATCCCAATTTGGACGGATCTTGCTTAAGTAACAACCAGCTTTACAACAAAGCCAACAATTTATCATGCTAGAAGCAATTGTTGTAACCATAATTAATAAATACTGCAGTTAACTAACTACAGAAGTTTGCAAAAACAATAGCAGCAGGGAAAAAGAGGGCACATTTATCCTATTGTAACTATTTAGTAGACTTATAAATTACCTTATCATGCTCTGCTATTCATACTGGTTTTGCAGAAGTTTATCACTAAGCCTGAAAGCCAAATTGGTATCAATCATAAAAAGAAATGTTTACAATTTATATATGGATTTTCCTCAGTACTGAAAGCAGAATTTTGAATACTATACTCACAAAGTGTATAGATGCAATTCTAATTCTATCTAGGTACATGTAAATTCTGTTTCTTGATTGTAATTGATATAGAAGTTGTTCGAGGGTATGTTCACTATATGAGATTTTTTTATGTGTTGATAGGCCCAATTGGCCATGCAAAAAGCAGTATAACTGTCAGATTAATTTCTCATGAGAAAAGAGACATACTACTTGTTTCCCTCACTTTCCTAAAACAAAACCACAAATCTAATAGAATGGGCTTTGCCAATTGGCCATTGTGGTGGTTTTTAACTGCTGCTTTTAAAGGTTCCATAGTATCCATAGGGTAGAGTAACCCCTCCCCTTAGAAGTGTGCTGCCTAGCAACTAATGCCAATAGTGCAGTATGTTTTCCTTTTTAAGTGACAGGGCATTCTCACACAAGTAGTCGAGCCAGCTATACGGTCCTAGCTGCTTACATGTGGCAAGGCTGACTGATGAAGTCTTGGACACGGATCATAACGTACAATAATTCCTGCCTGGCTGTTTAATGTGATCTGCTGATTTGTTTTGGTTTTTTGTGGCTGTGTGTGTACATAGATGGATTTCATAGCTAGCTCATGTAAACCGAATAGAACAGAACAAGTATTTCACATTTCATTATTTCCAGATGTTGTCAAACTGACTATTTTGATAGTGAGTTTAGACAATTATCATACCTATCTAGTACCTAATGTATATTCATTTCTATAAATGCTTAATTTTTCTAGGCTTTGTAGGTTTTATTCCCTTCTATGTTTGTAATGCCAGACTACCTACATGTTATAGTGGCCCATCTGTGTCTTTCAGCAGAATTGGACAACCTGGGATCCTTTGAAACATAAAAAAGATTGTGGAAGTTATATCAGAAACACATAGGCTGCCTGCTAGTATGAACTTATTTGGGGGAGGTATTTTGTCTCATCAGAATTCAAAACACCACTTCAAAACAAAACAGCACCCATCTTCTAATCAGCAGAATAGTTACTTGGTTTGGATCTAATAAATAAGGGGCTTCTGAACATATGCAGTACATTCAACGCAGACTGTTACTGAAAGAAACATACTACTCCCATTATCCCTATAGAAGCAGAATGACTCATCTTAACAATTTTCCATATTAGAACAAACATTTTGTATTTCTCATATATACAATACAAGCTGTAGTTCAATATACAGCATAGATTTTTGCAGAAGACAGGTAGATATATGTGTGAAGCTTATTGAGAGTTGTCTATGTGTTATACATCTTAATTTCCTAGATTATAAATTAGAATGACTAATGTTCTAATGAAAGTTGAGCATTTAAAATAATTGTTTCTTCACAGTTTATTTACAGAAAATGTGCTGGCTCATCCTTGCATTGTTTTGCGTCGGCAATGTCAGGTAAATTCTTTGGGCTATTGTAGGCTATTATTCAAATATTTGTTTTGTGTTTCTCTGTCGTGATTATATAATTAGGACAGTAGGTTCCATGCATATTTAGAATTCAATTTTATAACTTTTTCTGATATTAAAAATGTATTTCTTCCCTTTTGTAAAATAGAAAACAAAGGATATCGAAAGATTATGAAAATTTAGCCTGGCATAACATTCGTACAGCCTCATAACTCACATTTCTACATCAAATATTGTAAATAAATTACTTAGTAAAATACAACTGAATTTTTCATTTCAGACAGCTGGAATAACTTTCCCCTAAATTCATCTTTTATATTGTTCCTTGTTTAAAATTTATTTTGTAATGAAATGACAAAGGCCTAATATTTAAAATATTTAAATGAGTAGATACATTGAGCTACTGTAGCATCCACCTTTTTTCCCAAAACTATGAATTTCTTGAAATCTTTATCAGTGTAGCCAATCTTAAGGTAAAATATTTAAAGAAATTCATTCAAGCAGTACAAATCTTTTGAACTAAATGTCTTGGAGCCCCTGAGAGCACATAAAAACCTCTTCTCTGAATCAATAAGAGCATTGATAACTTTATAGCTTCATGAGATTGCTTCATAAGCCACTGCCAGTTGTTTCTCTATATGATGCATGTATACTTGCTTTGTACATATACATATATGGAGACATCTCAGAGCAGCTTCCAAAACAGCACAAGCCTAAAAAAAAACCAGCAAGAACTTCATGGATTCGGAAAAAAGCAACTTCATAAATGCTCCATCATGTTCTGAAGCACCACTTCTGAAAAAGTCATCCTCCTAATATTTTGAAGATAGGCATTTTTGAAGATAGGCATTTTAGTATTTGGATCGGAAGCAGGCAAAGCTGCTGTACCTTGGTGAATCTCTAAAGGAGCTTATGCCTTTTGCTGGTTTTACTTAGCCATAATGGCTCAGAAAGGTCCATATTTTCATTAAGGAAATAGTGACATGTGGTCAGGTCCATTTCTGTCTCTTTGATATCTCCTAATTCTACTATGCAGTTTCTTAAGTCTATGCTGCTACCTTGCAAAACAAGAAAAGATAGATAAAACAAGGTGTCCGTACCACTTTAGGACTCTTAGATCCAAAACTTGGAACTTCTAATTTAGGTGCAACAAAATATAAATGTAGATATGATTACACCATTTGTTTTGAATTTATTGTCACTAATATATGGGTTTTGATTATATTTTTTTTTACATGTAAAAATATTCATGCGACATTTATTGCATCTAAAGATCCAAGGGATCCAGCTTACACACATCATTAAAGATTTGTAATCAAGATTTGTTTACACAAAATAAGCAACAACGATTTGGCATGTATATGAACCACATTGATAAATCTCAAATTATAAATTATATGAATTTAAGGCAGCTCATTTTTATATGTGTATATACTTTATACTTTCAGGTTAATTATCATGCCAAGAATTATCACCTTACTCCATTTACAATCATCAACATTATGTATAGCATCAATAAAACCCAGGTTAGTATTTATTCTCCATTGGAGATTATTTATTGATAAGCTTAAATTACAGATTTTTAAAGAACAATTTTTATTATTTTATTATTTTATTTTATTTATGCACTGTTACTTTCTCACATGCTGTAATAGTACAAAATGACAATATGTAAAAAGGTCATTATTTGGTAACATCGGCTTTTTCAATACATCCAATACTGAACAAATTATAACTTAAATTTTAGGGCCCCAGAGCTCTTTGGAAAGGAATGGGGAGTACTTTCATTGTCCAGGGTATAGCCCTTGGAGCAGAAGGCATCATCAGTGAATTCACACCCTTGCCAAGGTATAATCATATTTTGTCTCATTGTATTAAATAACATATTACTAATTATTCATATATATGTGAAAAATTCTTTGTTTGAATTGGTTAAAAAAATAAGTTAATCTAATAATTGCTTTATGATGAGAATCATTCAGAATAACAGAGTTAGAAGGGATCTCGGAGATCTTCAGGTCCAACCATCTGCTCAAGCAGGAGACCCTATATCATTTCAGACAAATTAGTGTCCGATCTCTTAAAAGCCTCCAATGTTGGAGCACCCACAACATTTGGAGGNACTTAACAAGTATGTTATTAACTTAACAACTGTAGTGATTCACTTAACTGTTGCAAGAAATATTGTAAAATAAAATCACTGTTAAGCAAAAGAAAGTGTGGGCTCAATTGTGGTTGTAAGTCGAGGACTACCTGTATTACATATAGCACATATATCATCTACTAAAATACATGATTTACAACACACTAATGACTTGGTTAATAGGAAAATTCCACATGAGTAAAAATAATAATCCGAACATAAATTGAAATACCCCAGTCTATTTTAATATCTACAACCACAAATATTTCAGGTAGATCACGTCTCAATATATTTTTCTCTCTACAATAGAGAATACAATAGAATATTCTTTATTGGCCAACCAAGTAATTTGTTTCCAGTACATAAGCTTTCAGTGTACATACAAAGTAATATCATGAGACACCAATAATAGAAAGTAATAGGAAAGATAAGAAAGGTAATAGTAATACAGCCCTACTACATAAGTACATTTACTTAGAAATAAGAGTGTTAGTCTATACAACCGTGATGGCAAACATATAGCACACATTCCACAGGTGGCACACGGTGCCATTTGTTAAGGCACACAAAGCATTGCCCTGTCAGCTCCAGCGTGCATGCGCATGCTGACCAGCTGACTTCGGACTTCTTTTGAGACCCCTTTTCACCCTCCGGAGCCTTCAGGCTTCCAGGAAGGCTCCAGAGGTTGAAAATCGCCCCTACGGACAAACCAGAAGTCACCATTCCCAAACTTCTGTGTTCCCCTTAGGGGCGTTTTTTGCCCTCCGGAGGCTTCAGGAAAGCTCCTGAAGCCTTGGGGGGGGCTGTTTTCATCCTCCCCAGGCTCCTAGAAAACTTCTGGAACCTGGGGAGGGTGAAAAAACTACGCCAAAAGCAGGGGGGGTCACACATGCATAGCATTATGGGTATGGCACGCCCGCGCATGACTCCCCCTGTGCTTCCCCCGCTTTTGGCATGGGAGCCAAAAAAACGTTAGCAATTACTGCTATACCATTATTATATTTACATAACTATATATATTACCTTTTTATCACATCTTATTTTACGTTTATATTCTTATTCTTTGTTTCTATTCCCTAACCAGATATACCATATGTCCCAAATCAGATAATATTATTTCTCCTCTTTCTTTTATTTCCATTGTCAGCCAATCTATCTCCACACATTCTAGCACTTTTTTTTAATCACCATTCCATCGCAGAGGATACTTTCATTTTTCCAGTTTTGCACATAAACAATTCTGGCCACTGTTATTATGTGTAAACATGATAGATTGGATTTTTTTTACTATAATTTCCTCTTAATATACCTAATAAAAATAGCTGTGATTTTAAATCTATTTGTTGTTTAGTAATTTTTCTCTAGCTACATTCTTATTTTTGTCCAATATTTCTTTGCTTGATAAAAGGAAAGGATGAAAAAATGAAAACAACCTGTATGTATTTATGAGTTATACTGATACCGAAGCACTGTAAGGAAGGAAATTGTGATACAAAATGAAGAAAACTGTCTAATAAAAACTAATTTGCAAAAAAAGAAGAAATAGACAGTGCTGTGGGAATTAGGTGTGCAGCAGAGTGAAATCCTCGTCCCAGTCCTAACCAACTACCCTCAACTTCCCGGTAGTCGCCCAGCTCGGACGAACCCTACGTTCCTAGCTAGGCGAAATCATATCGCTCGCCAAGCTAACGGGGTTTGCTTCCGGTTGACACCCGGAAGTGAAGATTAGAAAGTGGGAGTCGCGGCTCTCGTTCTTCCCGCTGCTGTCTCTCTGCTTGTTTTCCCCGATCCTGCTTCCTTTCGCTGCCCAATGCATCCGCGGCGCCCCGAGGGCTTCGACGGCCTGGGCTATCGGAGCGCCCGAGAGGAGCCCGGAGGCTTCGCGGCCAAGCCGGACCTAGGCCACTGGGTCACTACCCCGCCTGACATTCCTGGCAGCCGCAATCTCCATTGGGGTGAAAAGACGCCGCAGTTCCCCGCAGGCACGCCTTTGGTGGCCGCTGGGCTCAACGAGGACCCGTACCTAGGAGGCGCTGGCACCAACTCCGGTGCGTAAAATAAATCGCCGAGTGCGGGAGTGGCACGCGCAGATTAAGAGCCTGGCCTCCGCCCTTAGGCAGCAGGTGCTCCGGTGCGTCAGGCACGCCTGCTCTGCAGTGTCCATTGGTTAGGTCCGTTTTGAAAAAGCCACCGGCAACGGTGTGCTAACCCATTCTTTGCTTTGGATGCTGTCCAGCACTTGCTCTGTAATCTATGCCTATAGGTGTGTCTCTTTTTGGAAGCATCTTGTCACTTGAGTGGCATATGCTCGGCACTCCCCCCCCTCCAAAACAGTTATACAGTACTTGGAATAATACATATAATTTAAGAGATAAAAGGAAATTAAGTATTTAACTTATTTAGAAACATTCAATATCCTGCAGTTTATAAAGATGTCTAATGTGCTAAAAATTTTGGATTTGCTATGTAAATTCATTACAGTGATTACTAAAAATTCTATACTGAAATGTGTTCGTCACGTTCTGGCTTTAATGTATGGTTATCTGTCTTTTAGAGCAAATAAATCGGTTTGCAGGCTTTGGGATTGGTTTAGCAAGGTAAGAAGTTTAATTTTTCAGTAGTGACAATTTTTAAAATGCAAAGGCCCTTTTGTTCAAAATTCATGTCCACTGCAATTCAGAAATTTAACATTGCCATTAAACTTTAAAGAAAATGTTACAGTTCTTTTGTTTTTATAACTAACACACAGTTATTGATATTGTTAAATAACTGTTTAATAGTCGATATCTGTTCAGTTTCTCGATATTTATTTATTCAGTTTCTCAATCAATGACTCTAAGTGGCTTACAATATCTGAACCCACCTGATATTGCTAACTAACCAAGGCTCTTCATATTGTTCTTGCCTAGTTTTTGGCTACTAATACTAATGCTTGCAGTAAAGCTACACAGAAAAAAATTACTCATCTGGAAGGAGATTGTGTTCAAAGTCTCAATCTGGTAACAATTCTTCCAGTTAGTCTCAACCTAGATAGTGAAAAATTGGAATGATAAATTTTCCAAACAACTGCTCATAACTGAAAGAAGTTCATCTCTTTGGAAATAATCATCTGAACAAAAGACTGCTTAACTATGACAAATTATCCATAACTTGTCAATGATATGTATCCAATCCTAAAGCCTTATTAACACTTTGTCAACAAGATCTAAGTGGATGAATTGGATGGAGCAAAGGACTTCTGTTAGTTCAGTCCAATATGTAATGTAATTCCAATGTAGGCTGAAGTGATAATAAGCAAAATTCTGTAAAAATCTAATTTCTTTCAAAAAATTTACATAAGAAGTTCCTTAAGAGTGTTTATATTGATATTGAGCCACATAAATGTTTTGAAGATTCTGTTCATGTACCTTTCCCATGAGCTGGCTTTTGATTTAGTTTAAAAAAATTAAGACAGGAGTTCTGGATTATTTCCATATTTTATTTAGATCATATAAAATTTTAGCCTTTTTACACCTACATCTACGATAAATATAATCTCATGAATTTGCGGTTGCTAAAAGACAATTGAGCACTTTCAGTGTGTCATTTCAATTCATTCAGCATTTTGTTCTGAACTAAATGTAAGTTGTAGGTCTGAAATTAGTTGTACTTTTTAGGGCCTCATGGTTACCATCAGTCTACTTTGGAAATAAAGGAATTTTAAAATCTTTTTAGATAATTTCCATTCAACATATCTGACGTTAACTGAAACTTTAGATTCATTATAATACAGCAAATTGGAATAAATAATTGCTCCCAAAAGTATTGTCTGACTTTATAACACTACCACATATTGAGATATATGGTATGATATAAGACCATGAAAAGTAATAACTAGAATGCAGTTGACATAAGTTATTTATGGTTGCTTTTGAATATAAATTAAAATTCTTACTCATGACTAATATTACACTCA